GGTAAAAAAAGCTAGGGATAACAGCAGGTTGTTCATCAGCCTGCGCAGCGTCGGCCAATGTAACTACAGAACTGCTACGGTCTTCTCTAAAATCTGAAATTCTGAATCCCGTTTCCTAGCGCCAACATAACAGCCTACAATCCAAGTAATTGCGCTTCTACCACATCAATTACCGATCTACTTACAGTGTTTTAAATGTCAATAAAGCAGTGCTTTCAACGTTAAGCGTATTAATGACGTCTCTTTGATGCCTGTGTTTCGCTCATTCGCCAGGACTCATTGCTAAAGCACCACTTCCCCACTACTGCCGCTATTCCGGCTTCTGTTCATCATCCATTTCGCCAAAGTTTTATTGTAAATGCGATGCATTTTCATGTATTTATATAGGTCGCTTTCTCTTTCCTCGGCCAAATCGAATTCCGTCTCTTCTTTAAATCGTTTATACGTCTCACTGATCGACAGATCTTCGAATACTGACGCAGCAAAAATCATCACAGATGCCCACACTCTGCAAGCATTATTTCCTACCGAGAGCGTTAAAATCGGACTGCTTTTATGCGTTCTTGCTATCCAGCACTATAACGCTGCTAGAACGAGCAAAATGCAAATTGTCCACAGACTGTCTGTATGTGCGCGTGCTCGGAAGCGAGTGGACTTTGTCACGCATTTTCAACTCAACAACCAGGAAATCTGGAAGGCTGAAATTTTGGGGACATATTCACACCAATGTGCCACCTTCTCTTTTTAAGATCTCCCCTCATACGCGCCTAGATCTCGCTTGCGGACCCTCTAAAAGAATATGCAAATTTCTTTGGCGGGAAACGATTTTGGGAACCAGACAAAGTGGAAAGCTGGAACTTTGCAGGAATATTCTATGTGCTTGTTGAGCTAAAGATTTCAAATTTAGTCACTGCGCAAGCTTTTGCAACGCTTACAGTTACGTCATAGTTTGCGTCTAGAACTGCGCTAACTCGAAAAGTAGTCGGAAAGAAGAAAACAGCGGCGGAAATTTTGTCAGAATATTTGCCGTCCATACGGGAAATCGTAAATCTAAAATGAGTTCCGATATGCACTTGCGCCACGACTCAGGGCATTTCAAATATATTTTTAGCCGGATAAAACGCGCTGCTTCGCTAAAATATTCAATTTTCAAATGCGATCTTAATTCTGCTTGGAAGTAAAATCCTCTTTTCGGGTGGGTACGAAAAATACTCAATTTTACCACCAGCTCAGAAAAGAGTGCATTTTACAGCGAAGCATCGTCCTCATCCTCCCCAACATCCAGTTCATTTACGTATTTGAACAAACGACTGCCCTAGCAATATTTTCACTTTTCAGTGAAGAACTGGAACAGGATTTTAGAAGAGGATGAGGGCGATCGCCCATTGCAAAATGCATTCGTTTTTGAGTGAAACCTGCTTAAACAGCTGAGTAAAAACGCATCCACACATCGATTAGTCTGGTACTTTCCAGCCTGGGTTAATGATAACTATCATTGGCAACTACTATAACTCGGTTCGGTTCGGCTCAGAACGGCCTGCGCCACATATGATCTGCGAACACTTGGCTGTAACTCAAGCTTCTCAGCTTAACATTACTTCGCGGCGTCGCTTGCTGACACCGCTTGACACTTTGCCAAGAACGCTGGGTAGCGCTATCCACCATGGCTAAAACGCGTGTTTGGGGAGGAGGGTGCTGGGTTAGGGGTTTTGGCGTGATTGGGGAGTGGCAGTGAGTGGGTGTTCAGATCTAGTTCCGGAGACACAAATTAGGGCAAGACAGAGGGAGAAGGAGGCTACTGAGGAGTACGGGATGAATAACGGTGACAATGGCTAGGAGATGGTGGGTGACGCGTGCCCGGAAGCAGGATAGAAAAAGGGAACAGGGGTTCTAGTCAGGAGTTCGAGGCAAGAACTGGGAACAGCAGTGAAGGGGGAAGAGGCAACACAGCAGTACAAAGAAAACTAAATTAAAGCCTGAAATTAAGAAAAAAACCGAAAAAAGCTAAATCAAAGGACCGGAACCTATGAATAAAATTTGAAGGAAACAAAAGAAAATAAAAACTGAGGAAGCAGAAGCAAAAGACAAGAAAAAACTTAGCAAAAGGAAAACATATGGGTGGAAACTGCCTTTCAAAAAGCTCAATACAGACTTTCCCCGCTTATGAAGCTGATGCTTAGATTTATTGGCTCATAGTTTTACCGAAGCATCAGCTTCCCTAATGAAGAAATCACCTACTGATGACGGGTTTTTATAGGACAATTCCCACTCGCATAAACTGAGCATTTTTGGTTTTTATGCGTTTTGTGCTGTGTAAGAGAATTACAAAACGCATATTGTCTCGGGGTTGTCTGTGCGTGTGTGTGTTTGTGTCTGTGTTCCACATTTTGTCGCGCACTTTCAACTCGGGAACCACAAAAGCTAGGCGGCTGAAATTTTGGTATAGTGTTC